GACAGAACAGAGAACTATGGGAGAAACATGAAGAAGAGGCTCGAAAGAGAGAGCATGAACTACAGGAAAGAGAAAGAGTAAAGAAGTTAATTGAAGATCTCATGAAAGTAACCAAAAATTTTGAGCATGGTGCATCTACAATGCAACTTTCAAAGTGCATGCCGAGTCTGGAAAAAGCTACAGAGAAGGAATGAATTCTTTCGAACTCATCTCATGGTGGAAGGCTGGAGTAATTGCATGAGGAAACATTCGTGAGGCTTACAACAATTACATAAGTCTCAACATCCAAGGAAAACATGAAGATCTAGTCAAGACGAATCCAATCAAGATCTTCAGAGAACGAATCAATGAGGAGATTGACACCGATAGAATGCTCAAACAGCAAAAGGAAAGGGACATTCGTGAACATGAAGAAGCTAAGCAACAGAAGTCGAAACTTCTAGATTTGTAAGATGCTTTTCTTTTATATCCTTCTTAAAATTTTTTGTAATGTTCACTATCTTTAAATGAAACTCCCATTGTTACACATCTCGTGTTACTTGTCTGAGTTACTTACATTGTCTTTTTGTCATTTGCACTTATCAAGAAACGACTTGTAAACTCTCAATAATGGCTGCTTTGTAATAGAAAATCATTTATGGGACTTTTATCAGCCTTATAAGAAGAGTATAGGTTTTGGCATCATAAAAAAGGGGAAAATTGTTAGGAACACTTGTATTAGGATTTTGATGATACCAATGTAACCTAGAAAGTAGACCCCTAACCTTTATTAATTTTAATCGCCACTTTCGTCCTAGACGAGAGTTTCCATAACTCACACTGTAATTCGTGTTAAGCTAGTCAAACACATGAAAACGAGTTATGCCTAGATGTTAGGGCTATCAAGACGAAAGAAGACTCAAGACACGAAGCATGAAGCATCTACAACGAAAGATAACCAGGAGTTGTCATCTACCTCGAAAGGACAGTCTTATTTATGACAATCCTTCAAGGCATTCTTCCTCCTCAAAAGCAAGAAGAATGTCTCCACTGTCTGACTTGACAACATCCTAGGAACAAAAGGACCTCAACTTGTGGGACACGCATACCAAGGAGCATTAAATGAAGATGTACTATTTCCTGAAGCTAAAGGACAAAACTCAAAGGCTCTCCATGCCATCAACGGCTACAAGGTACAAACCTCATTAATGGAGCATTTAATGCGGGAAGCTCCCCGATCCTTACCCACTGGATAATAGGTTTGAAAATTCATCTCCCTCCAACGGATGAAATTTTCCTCACCTATATAAACCCACCTTCAACAACTAAGAAGGTGCTGGTTCTTTTCACTCGATCTATCTATCAAGCAAAAGCTCTTAAACCTTCTCAGTTCTCTCAAGCTTTTGTGAACCATTGTTAAGGTGTGAAGATACTTGAAGAAGTTCATTAATCCTCATCTTACACCTTGAAGAAGTCTTGCAACTTGTACGAAGCAATCATCCCTCATCAGTCAAGACTTCATCACGTTGGAGAAATCAGAAATTATTTTCTACCAACCTCAACTCTGAAGAAGACGTTGATAGAGGCGGAGTAAACTCATGGAGTTGAAAAACCTACGAAAGCTGTCCGACTTAGTGATCAAGGAAGCTTTCGTGTATTTGTACTAACGAGTGATAGTGCAAACCTTCCATAAGTTGTGGAAGAAGAGTGGAGTAGGCAAAGTTGGCCGAACCACTATAAAACTCTCGTCTCCCTATCTCTTACTCACTCTATTTACTTACTACATCATATTATCTTTCGCGACAATACCGAAAGTTTCCTTTATAACGTCAAACCGTGTAAAGCAAGTAAAACGAATTTAACATTTCCGCTGCGCTAAATCTCCGAAAGGTTGTTATTTAGCAAAACACGAAAAGAGTCTATTCACCCCCCCCCTCTAGACTCTCGCTATAACACTACCGGGACCAACATGGCCAAAACTTGTGATAGCTTCCGAACGACATTCGTGCCCGCAGGTGCGCCCCTCACGAGCTCGGGCTTGAATAAAGCCTTTTGATCTCATCTCTAGTTGGAATTTGATTTTTTCCAACAATCCGGCATGTAAACTATTTTTTTTTTCTTTCAAGAATTTTAATTTAATTAGCACAAGAAAAAGGTAATTTTTAGGTGAAATATTAATATTTATATGTTGTAGTATACATAGAAATATTTTGCTTAATTTTTTTTTTCGTGCCCAGTTGCAACATATATTTTTATAATTTATAATGTACATTATTCTAAAATATAATGTACACTATTCTAAAGGGTAATGTACATTATTTTAAAACCTAATGTATATTATTTTAAAAATAATGTACATTATATTACCCTAGATATTTTATTATTCTAACACGTAATGCACATTATTCTAACACATAGTGTACATTATTCACATAATATACATTATTTTTACTCATAATATTCACGACGATGTTTTGAACTGTGGTCCACACAACTGTGTGGACCGATAATTTGCCTAGAAATAGTGGAGAGTTGGACCAATGTCATTGAAGTTAAATCATATACATATCTTATAAATAGTAAAAGTCGAACAGTTGTCATTGAAGTTAAATTATATACAAACTTTGTTTGGGAGAGTAGTTGGATCGATCTTATTAGACTTTTACTTCTCTAGTTAATTAAAAAAAAAAAGTATTCATATCAACTATTATGCAATATGATGACACCTCTATTACTAGTGGGGGGTTACAGGAATATAAACACATACTATTTTGTAAAAAAAAATATTCATCTAAATGACCTTAATTATGAAAACGGTTGAAGCAGTAAACCGCTTTAACTACTCTAATAGTAATTCCAAATGCACCTTTAATAGTGGAGAACATCACATGTAGGATGTCCCTTGTAATCAACTTGTTTGGCGTGAATACTCGTTCACTCTCATTCTTTAAAAGAAGTCGAGAGTTCGAACCCCCTTCTCGTATGAAAAAACTAATTGGGTCGATTCGGTGTGAATGGAGATTAGTCTGAGTATGGTACGAGAATGTGTCTCTTATAATTTGGACTTGCTCAGGACACCTCATGACTTGACAAAAAAAAAAAAGTCCCTTTTGCGAATGTAATAAACATTCAACTAGGGATTTATGTGAATGGAGGCAACCCCATTTGTATTGATTATGCTAACCGGGTAATTACAAGTTTCAAATTTAATTTTATATGAAAGTCTTTTTTATTTAATTGATGACTTATTTATAATATTCTATTGTGAGATATTTATGTACTAAATCAAGTACTTTAAGTTGGCTAGACCCGTCAATCCAAAAACCAACCGAAAAGCATAGAATAAATCAATCTAATCTGAAATGGATTTTTAATTTCAGAAACTGTTTATACACATTTATCTAATTTTGAAACGATTATTGTAGGGTGTGGCAAGTATTTCTTGTGATCTTTGTGGTGTACTCTGCATGGTCATCCCCATTCGAGCTCGCATTTAGAAAGGTGGCAACGGGATCATTCCAGCCCGTTGACTTAGTGGTGGATGCTTTCTTTGGTGTTGATATTATCCTCACTTTCTTTGTAGCTTACTTGGACAAATCCACCTATTTGCTTGTGGATGATCACAACAAAATTGCTTTGAGGTAATCTAGTGGTACCTGATATTATTGACTACTTTCAATAATTCATAAAAAAAAAAAAAAAAAATCAGATTCTCCGAATGAAGAGTCAAAAAGATCATTTCAAATAAAAAACTCGATCTGATTAGTCTATGTAAATAGACTTATTTAGCACAACATATGATCATGAAACCATATTTCATGTTGCTTGAAGGCATGTTACACATCTAGGTTTCCTGATGGATATAACTTCAACTATACCCTTCCAAACTATATACACCATGGTCATCAGGTGTTCGACTTTCTCAACCTACTTCGACTATGGTGGCTCCGTATAGTAGAGTCAGTGCATTCTTCTCCCGGCTAGAGAAGGACACTCGCTTCAGCTACTTCTGGACGAGAACCTTCAAGCTAAGCTAATATAAGTATGTACAATATACATTAAAAATGTGTTTTATCTCGACTAAAAGTTTAAATTTTACAGTGAGAGTTCTCATCTCAGGTGACTTTATTTGCGGTCCACTCTGCCGGCTGCTTCTACTTTTGGCTTGCAACACACTACCATGATTCATACAATACATGGATTGGATTTAAGGTTCAAGATTTCAAAGATAGAAGTGTGTGGTTTGGTTTACTCTGTGCATTGGTCCCTTGTCACTCTCACTACAGTTGGCTATGGAGATCTGTGTGCCCGTAATACTGTAGAGAAGGTCTTCACCATTTTCTACATGCTCTTCAACATTGGCCTCATAGCTTACTTGATTGGAAATGTGACCAATCTCATTGTCCACAGTGCAGTGAGAACTTTTGCCATGGTACTTGTCCTTTTTCTTCACAGATTATGGTTGCAAACATTTACTAGCCCATACTTGCATGATGGTGGGTGGACAAAATCTCTCGCCCCGAGGGTCCCCCCGGCACAGGATTGTGGAGGTGTTAATCACGATGATTCAGCGACCGTGACTCAGCAATCCATTAGGTGGAAGGACCAATGCCTGGTGTCCACACGGGGTAAAACACCCCCAATTGCAACTGTCAGGGCTCAATCTTATGTTCTTGCCCACAATCTGTCACCCAGTTACCAACTGAGCTACTCGTGGGGACATGATGGTGGGATCTTGCTCTAATAGTTGGATGTTTTTGTGCAGAGAGATGCCATCAACAATATACTAGGATACGCGAGCAAGAATCGACTTCCAGAAGGGCTGAAGGAACAAATGCTGGCTCATATGACACTGAAATTTAAGACAGCAGAGTTGCAGCAACAAGTGCTGGAAAACCTGCCGAAGGCGATGATAAGATCTGTCATTGCTCAGCATTTGAGGGGACTACAAAATCCTTGTTCAGTTGGTGTATCTAAGGACTTCATTCTTCAGTTGGTAACATATATTTTTTTCCATCTTCATCCTTGTTCCAAATCTTGATCTGCAAAATTTATGGCGGGATTACAAATTAGAGATGGTAACAACATAGGTGTACGTTTTTATGGTTGTTACACAGGTATCTGAATTAAAAGCAGAATACTTTCCACCCAAAGTTAATATCATTATCCAAAACGAAATACCAACAGATTTCTATGTCATTGTATCTGGTCCAGTGGTTTGTATTGTTCTTCTCTTCTGCTTCCCTTCTACTTCTGCAACATAGTATCCTTACAACCTTTTACAACTGCAGGATGTTTTAGCATACAAAAACCGAACAGAACAAGTTAGTTGTTAATTGTTATAGCTTCGATTCCATACAATTCCAAATTCTGAAACAACTGAAAGGGGAGAAAGTTAAATCATACGCAAAAGCAAATGGGATTGTTCACTAACATAAACTGATGTAAACAGTTCCTGTCAAAATTGGGACCTCCAGAAATGGTTGCGGAACTGGGAGTGATATTTAATATCCCGCAGCCATTCACAGTGCGAAGCAAGAGGATTTCTTTCCAATTTTCGTCAGGTAACTCCGATACGATTTCATCATTGCGGGCACTCCTGTATATAACCATCTACTCACTGTTATTTAGTCGTTCCTTTTGTTCAACTCACCATCCCGACAAAATGCATGCCTTGTGCTCAGCATTTGAGGGGACTACGAAAAGAAGAGTTGGAAGAGATACCTGTGGTAAGAGAGTTTCTGGGAGATCGAAACAATAATGAGGTAAAATGTTCGCCTGCACAAAAATGTGTAGAGCAATCAAGTGACATGGAAGCGTTGAAAACACGTATTAACTACCAAACCTAACAGGAATGCACACGTTTCCTAAGGCGATTTCTTTTCTCCTGCAGATAATTGCTGAACGTGAGGGAGCAGAAAGCAATGAAGGACAAAACCAACAAGAAAACAATAAGCTAACCAGCCATAGCGTTCGAAATAGGGAAAAAAATGCTCTAAGACGAATACTTTTACACACCACAGCTACTGAGAAGTTCGGATTTGATTCCTCCTATGTTGTGCTATTTAACTTCTTGATAACCTGCCTGAAACGAAACAACTATTGCATCATCAGGAACATTTCCGACAAGAGTGATAATACACGGGCACCATCCACATGATGAACTAAAAGAAGAACACAGAGGCAAGCTGGTCCACCTTCCCGATTCAATTCAAGATGTTAGATATAAACTGTTATAGAAGATGGAAAGGCATAGAAATAAATAGGCTAGGAAGTGAAGAGTTGTAAAACTGTCCATTGTAGTAGTATATATATCTATGTATAGCAGTGAAGGAGAACACACAGAAAATAGAACAAACACATTGGTTGATATCCTCTCTTTCTAGCTACATGGTATCAGAGCCGGCGAGAGTGAAGTAATAGGCCGTGCTCGGAAAGAGGAGGCGACGCCGGAACTTGAGCCGCATCGCCATCGGAGCTTCCACGCGCCACCACGCGCCGCCGCCGTCCAGCTGCTCCGACGCCACGCGCCGGCGCGTGAGGCGTTCTCCGCCCACCTTCGTCGACGGCGATTGCTCCGGGGGACTCGCCGTGTGGAGTAGGTTCTGCTCAGGTATGGTTTCTGGAGTTTTGGTTTGTGGATGTTTGCACTTAGGGTTTGCAGTCGTGGGATGAACGTGAATAGAACTGTTGCTTCTCCTTAAGATTTTGGGTTTGCATTCCTGGGTTCAACTTGAATAGGCGGTATGGCAGAAGGAAGTAATAGGAATATTACTGTTGTATCTACTCCATCTAAATTAATTGATGTAATATTGACTGTTGATGGGTCTAATTTTGCTGAATGGAAATTCTTGGTTAAAATTAATTTAGATGGAATGGGTAAAGGGGACCATTTAGATCAAGATTGTCCTGCAGATAATAAAGAATGGGAAGCAGATGATAAAGCTTTATTATCACGGGTAATTAATTGTATTGATAGGAAGGTAATTTTATCAATGCAACATTGTACCACGGTTAAAGCAGTGTGGGAATTAGTGTCTGAATGGTTCAGTGGGACAAGTAATTTAAGAAAATTATATCAGTTGTCTCAAGATGTCTACAGACATAATCAAAAAGGTCGAGATCTGAGAGACTACTATTATGATTTTTAAAGTTTAAGTGAAGCTTTATGTACTGCAATGCCTATTACAACTTATGTGAAAACAATGAAAACACAACGTGATCAGTTAATTGCTTTTAGTTGGATTTCCGGACTTGACAAAGAATATGAGATTCTTAGGTCACAATTGCTGGGAAACAAGGAATTAGGGTCGTTGGACCAAGTGTTCTCTCAGATACAAAATGCAGCAATAAGTCTTGACAATAATGAACCGGTTGAGAAGAGTGTTTTTATATCACAAGGGAGCAATAGTGATGGAAGTGCGTTTGTATCTCAAGGAAATTATACTAATGAAGGGTATAATAGTCGAGGTGGAGGTGGTCGTCATCGAGGACGTGGTGGAAGAGGCCGTGGAGGAGGTCGTGGAGGACCAAGGGTATGTTTCAATTGTGGAGAACCAGGCCATTTCAAAAATCAATGTCCTAAACCACCCAGGCAACAAAGGTTTGCTAACACAACCTCTGGATCTGAAGGACATATGGTAATTATGACAGATGAGGAGTTAGCGGCATTCAATCAACTGAAAATGTCTTCTCCTATGCAGTCTCCATCCCAGTTTCCATCCAATCAACCGTCTTCTTTTGCAACCTTTGTCCAAACAGGTAATCCTGTTGCATGTGTGTCTTCTTCATCTACACAGTGGGTCATTGACTCCGGAGCTAGTGACCATATGAAAGGTAATTCTAAGGTTTTATCCACATATTCTCCATCTAAATCTGGGGTTATGGTTACTCTAGCAGATGGATCATCCGTTTCAGTTTTGGGTAGAGGTAGTGCAGCCTCATCATTACCCCTGTCATCTATATTATATCTTCCAAAGTTTCCCTTTAATTTGCTCTCTGTTAGCCAGATCACACGATCTTTGAATTGTTCTGTCTCATTTTTTCCGGGTTACTGTTTCTTTCAGGATCTTTTGACGAAGAAGATTATTGGTAAGGGGAAGGAAGTCGGAGGACTGTATGTGTTAGAACAATCTATATCTCCGCCAAAGGCCATGTTGAGTGATACCTCTCTTTTCCAGCTACATTGTCGGTATGGTCACCCATCACTGTCGGTCCTAAAGAAACTCTTCCCTAGCTTAGAATCACTGTCTACTTTGCAGTGTGAGTCGTGTGAGTTTGCTATGCATTGTCGGGTTTCCTACCCTCCTCGTGTCAATAAAAGAGTACGATCTGTATTTGAACTTGTTCATTCTGATGTCTGGGGTCCTTGCCATGTCACAGGGAAAAATGGGTTTAGATATTTCGTAACTTTTGTGGACGACTTCTCTAGATGTACGTGGTTATATCTTATGAAATCTAGAGATGAGTTGTTTACAATTTTTTGTAATTTGTGTGCTGAGATCAAAACCCAGTTTAATAAAACCATTAAGTGTGTGCGTAGTGACAATGCACAAGAGTATTTCTCTAAACCCTTTTCCACTTTTATGGGCCAACATGGGATAGTTCATCAATCCTCGTGTGCATGTACACCTCAGCAGAATGGAGTGGCAGAAAGGAAAAACCGTCATTTGTTAGAAGTGGCTCGGGCAATTTTGTTTCAAATGAAAGTGTCTAAAGCTTTTTGGTCTGATGCTGTTCATACAGCATGTTTCCTGATCAATCGGATGCCTTCGTCTGTCCTTCAAGGTCAAATTCCTTATTCTACAGTGTATCTGACTAAACCTCTTTTTCATCTCCCACCCAAAATATTTGGATGTACTTGTTTTGTCCAGGATGTTCGTCCTCAACGCCGAAAACTTGATCCAAAATCTCTTAAATGTATATTCCTGGGATACTCGCATACTCAGAAGGGTTATAGATGCTATTCACCTGACTTGGGGTGGTATTTAGTGTCAGCTGATGTTACTTTCTTTGAAAACATGGTGTTCACAGGGAGTGTTGGGTCGTCTGGGTATGGGTCTACTCAAGACAATGACTTTCTTACATATACTATTACCATACCTGTCGAGTCTGTTTCTAGACCCCCGATTACACAGGTTTATACTCGGCGACCGAGAGATGAAGTGGCACCACCCGAACCACAAGTGAATACTTCTTCCTTACCAGAATCTTCGTCAAATGATCCGGATCTTCCCATTGCCCTTCGTAAAGGTAAACGCCGTTGTCAGAACCCTATTTCATCTTTTGTGTCTTATAATCATTTGCCGTTGTCATCTCGCACCTTTGTATCACGTTTAGATTCTATGTCAGTTCCAAACACTTTGAGTCAGGCTTTAGCACATGATGGGTGGAGACAGGCAATGGAGGAGGAGATGACTGCTCTTGAAGACAACCATACTTGCGATTTGGTACCCCTCCCGGACGGTAAGACCGCAGTTGGTTGCAAGTGGGTTTATGTTGTGAAAATGAACCCTGATGGGTCTGTGGCTAGACTTAAAGCTCGTCTAGTAGCAAAGGGATATACACAAACTTATGGTGTTGATTATACAGAAACTTTCTCCCCGGTAGCTAAGATAGCTTCAGTTCGTATCTTTATTTCCTTAGCTGCGTCTAACCATTGGCCTCTGTATCAGCTAGATGTCAAAAATGCCTTTTTGCATGGCGATTTGGTTGAGGAAGTCTACATGGAGCAACCTCCGGGGTTGTTGCTCAGGGGGAGTCTGGAAGTGTGTGTAAATTGAAAAAGTCTCTATATGGCCTGAAGCAATCTCCACGAGCTTGGTTTGGGAGGTTTAGTAGTGTGATTATGGAGTTTGGTATGCAAAGGAGTCAGTGTGATCATACTATCTTTTTCAAGCATACTAATGATGGGTGCATTCTCTTGATAGTTTATGTTGATGATATAGTAATCACAGGTAATGATGCAGTAGGTATTGAGGCTCTTAAATCTTTCCTCAAAGAAAAGTTTCACACGAAAGATTTGGGAGTGTTGAAGTATTTTTTAGGGATTGAAGTTGCTCGCTCTCGGAAAGGAATATTTCTCTCCCAAAGGAAATATGTGCTAGATCTGCTTGATGATACTGGGTTGTTGGGATCAAAACTGTAACACCCCAGATTTTCAAGACATTTTAAACTTAAATAATAAAGGCAATATCTCATTACATCCCAAGTATCTCATAAGTGTATGGGGTGCTATGCCACACCCGGGCTAGAGAACCCAGGTGCACAGGCGGTCTAACTAATATCCATTGAAACATAATGCATAATATGGCACGCAGGCCGAAAGGGAAACTACTCTACTTTTATGCTCCAATTCTAGCGCGCTCCAGTGCTCTAGTCCTCTGTTCCTGAAAGCCAAATATATCTGTTCAGCGAGAGATGCTGGTAACCCACTCCAACGCGTTGAAATACAATACATATAGCAATATATATATAGATATATGAAAACCATTTTGAGCATGAAGATATATCCTACGAACTCTAGCTCTTAAAACCGGGAATGACTCGACAGTTAAGGTCAGACACAAGCAATAGTTATAACGAGCATATGCAGTTCACAATAGATAAGGCAGATAAGGCGAAGCATAAACAATAATCACAACCCATCATAAACAGTCCCCAATATAACTCCCATAGCCACATCCCAAGGCATTCATAGTCACAACTCGTCCATATCACACACATAACGCACATTGTTGGCGCCACAGGACCGATCGCATGCCCATACATGAGGGTCAGCGCATATAGCTCTGACACAGTCCCGCAGCACCATGCCCCGTATCGCAACACGGGGAGGTCGATCGCAACCGACCGATGAACCGCAGCTCATCATAATGTTTGATCGCAACCAAACGGTGGACCGCAGCCCAAGAGAGTGTGTCATCTGACTGTAGCCAGGAATTCCCATCTGACTACAGCCAGCCTCTGAACCGCAGCTCAGGAAAATGTCATCTGATTGCAGCCAGGAATTCCCATCTGACTACGACCAGCTTCTGGACCGCAGCCCAGGATGCCGTCACCCGACTGCAGCCAGGAATTCCCATCTGACTGTAGCCGGCTTCTGAACCGCAGCTCAGGATAACCAATCCGATCGCAACCGAATTGGGGCAACACGCGCACATAACACATAGCAAGCACATACAACCCACATTACACGTTGGGAAGGGGAATAAACGTATAACAAACCTATGCGTGATCCATCACATGCTAAGAACAGTCCTAAGGGGTTCATACTTCTCCCACCTAGGCCAACCGGGTACCAATTCAACTAGCATGCATTATAGTAGACTCACAAACCTACGAACGGTACCCGAAACATCAAACTAGACATACGCACGATAAACGGGGTCCGTTGGGACACCACGGGGATCGGGGAAACATCAAACGGGGGAGCCAGAAACCCGAGGGAGGGTGTAAACCAGCGGGTAGCCGGTGGGTGAAGGCTCACCCGTCGGCTGCCCGCCGGCGGCAACTATTCCGGGCAGCGGGTGCCCGGCGGGCAGCTGCCCGCCCGCCGGCTGCCCGCTGCCGGTGTTGCCCAATTAGACCGCGGGTAGGTGGCGGGTCCCCTACCCCCACCTACCCCCCACTGACTCTTAACACACAATTTCACCCCGGGAACCGTTGTGGAACCCGAAACCATGCTTTAGACACTTTACAACGTAATTAACGGCAACACGTAGACAATTAACGGATCAAATACGAGAAACGAATGCCACATAACCTATCATGCTTTTGTAACATAATCAACTCCCAACATGCGATTTCCCACCCAATAAACCAAGAATCAAGGCATACGGTACAACCTAGGGTTCTAATCACTTTTATAACAAACAAGCATACGATTCATCTTCTAATTGCAAGATTCGGTAGGAACAACACATAATCATCAAGGATAGCAATTAATCATCAAGAACTCCATGATTATCAAGAATCTCCCAATATCAAGATTATCAAGATCCCTCATGGAATCATCACATCAAACATCAACAATAATCATCATAACTTGCCAAACACAACAATATGGGGGAAACCCTAAGGGGGAATCATAGCTATGAAAATAGGTTTTGTTGAGACATGGGTTACCTCTTAGCCTTAATTAATTCCTTGGCTATGAAGGATCTTTCTTTAAGCTTCCTTGCTTTCTTGATTTCTCCTAAGGGGATTCTTGGAGCTCTTTTTGGGGTGGTGGGCGTTAATCTTGTGGGGAGTTCTAGGTGCCTCTTAAGTCCCCTATATATATATATTTAGGAGTCCTAATTAGGAACTAATATTATAGGCTTGCTAATTCTATTCCTTTTGGAACTAAGGATTGGGTTTAGGGGTTGGGTTTATACATGAGGGCTCATGGACTATGGTGGGCCTTTTTCCCTAAATAATTATAATTTATTCTTTCTCTTGGGTTACTGATTAATTGATTAAATGGTTTTAGGGGCCGTAACACGGGGTGTTACAAAAACCATGTGAGACCCCTATGGAGCAGGGTGTGAGACTTGTGGCTAGTGAGGGGGAGGCTTTTGATTCTCCAGAAAGATATAGGAAGTTGGTGGGAAAGTTGAATTATCTCACCATTTCGCGTCCTGATATTGCTTTTCCAGTCAGTGTGGTAAGTCAGTTCATGCAAGCACCCATGCGAACTCATTGGGAGGCAGCAGTTCGAATTGTAAAGTATCTCAAGAATGCACCAGGTAAAGGCATTCTATATGCTGATCATGGACATGCGAGAGTTGAGGCATTTTCGGATGCTGATTGGGCAGGTTCGTTAAGTGACAGGAAGTCTACAACAGGGTATTGTGTGTTCGTAGGAGGTAATTTGGTTTCTTGGAAAAGCAAGAAACAGACTGTTGTGGCTCGGTCCAGTGCAGAATCTGAGTATAGGGCGATGGCTCATGTGACGTGTGAAATAACTTGGGTGCACAATATGTTGAAGGAGGTTGGTGTGGAAGTGATGAAGCCCATACGTTTATGGTGTGATAATCAAGCAGCAATACACATTTCAAACAATCCAGTGTTCCATGAGCGTACCAAGCATATTGAGGTAGATTGTCACTTTGTGCATGAAAAGATTCAACAAGGCCTCATTTCCATGGCTCATATTCGTAGCGGCAATCAACTAGCTGATGTGTTCACCAAAGGGCTTAGCAGGGACAGGGTTGAGTATATTTGTAACAAGCTAGGCATGATTAATATCTATGCTCCAGCTTGAGGGGGAGTGTTAGATATAAACTGTTATAGAAGATGGAAAGGCATAGAAATAAATAGGCTAGGAAGTGAAGAGTTGTAAAATTGTCCATTGTAGTAGTATATATATCTATGTATAGCAGTGAAGGAGAACACACAGAAAATAGAACAAACACATTGGTTGATATCCTCTCTTTCTAGCTACACAAGAGTTTTTGAGTAATGCAGGTAACAAATCCTTAATTACTGATAAATATAATTTAATGAAGAAAAAGAATCAAGTATGAATTAAAATGACTGGTCTATGCAATGATACATTATACGCGTGTGTCAAATCTTATTATGTCTTAAATGCAGAAAAAAGGTTTGGGAAGAAAGGAACTAAAGTTCTTATGGCTAGCTAATGGCTCCCAGGTGGAAGAAAAAATGGTCATTTGTATATTTGTTAACTACAGTTAACAATTAGCAAAAACCATCTAAAAGTATTTACCAGTTTTGGCATTAAAACACCACATGCATCAGAGTCAAAGCAAATAGGAGAAAATGCTCCTTCTGTTCTCAATTGCAAACCATGTGAATGAAACAATAGGCATTGGCAGTGCTCCCCAAAATGGGATTTGATAGAAGCTAAACTCCGTATTTGCCGGAGCACAATCTGGCTATTGGTTACCTGGCGCTCGACAAAAAAAGTTGTCCTTCTAGTCCAGACTCTAGAGCCTTGTCTTTCCACTTTCCTTAGTAATGGATTCCTATTTTAGTCCCTTATTAGACGACTAAAAAATCAATCACCTTTAATACCTAATGACTTTGAAAACTTGTCACCTTTAGTCTAGCGAGACCAAAATTTAGTGCCAGATTTAGTACCTGACTAGGAGTAAAGTGGAAAGTTTTTATTGATTTTGGAGTAGATGATTGGAAATGCAAATGTAATAGTTGATGAACTAAAGTTGGAATGAAATCTTTAAACAAAACTAGAGAGTAATTGGCAATCCCAAAAAGATAATATGGAGTTCAAGTATAAGTTTCATAGATATATACATACATTGGCTTTCATAAGTTCATATTAAGCCCAAAATTAACAAATTCCTCAATTCATTTCTTCTAAGAGCTTACAATACTTTCCTCTTCAAATGTTTTAATGCATTCAAAGATTTTGACACCTTTTTCTTCAGATATTTCCTCACACTCTTCCGAGCATTCAACCTTACTTGATCAGAGCTTCCAACACTTAATTCTTTAGAGCTTCCCACACTTTCTTCTTTAGAGCTTTCCACACTTTCTTCTTCAGAGCTTTCCACTCTTTCTTTAGAGCTTTTCACACTTTCTTCTTCAAATCTATCCACACTTTCTTCTTTAGAGTTTTCTACAATTTCTTCTTCAGAGCTTTCATTATTTGGCCATTCAACCTTAAAAAGTAATTGGAAATGAGAACAAAAATAAACAAATAAATTAATACATGGAATTAGAAGGCAGTAAACTAATATTTTGAAATAATGAACAAGAATTAGAGAGAAACCTTAGTTCTAACTTCACGCACACGAAGTGGACAATCTGTCATTCCCTCAAACAATAACTTCTTTGCAGAGGAAATCTGCATTGCAGAAGTCACAAGAGAAGAATAACAACTTTCTAACACAATTAACTTCAGTGTTCCAATATTTGCAAAATTAATTGGAACTTGTTTCAATTCCCAACAATATCTTAAGACCAAGCGCTCCAAAACTGGGAAATGATTAGAATTTGCATTCCAATATTTGAGATTTGAACGTGAAATGAGAAGTGCCTTTAATTCCCAAAAGCCCTGCTTTGATGGTTCCCACTTTGAGCCATAGAATGCGAAATCTTTTAGTTTAAGCACCTCAAGGTGTGGCAACTTGCCAATTGTGTCCATCTCTTTCCATGGAAGATAAGTATAACGAAGTGTCAACTTCTTAAGGTTTGGTGGAAAACCAATTGGAAGATAAAAGCGCTCGACTCTTCCTACATCAAACTTCAACTTCTCATGTAGATGTAAATACACAAGGTTCAGTAAAGAGCTAGGCGTCAGTTGGCCTTCAATGTAAATCCCAAGTTCCTTTAGGTTTGGAACCATTTTGAAGTTTGGTTTTTTGTCAGAGTTAGCAACTTTCAACCAATAAAGAGTTTTTAGATTTTTTTTTGACTAAGCAAGGGAGATATTGTGAACATCTCTTGTCAACATGCAAATGTCTTAAATGTTGCAAACCCAAAATATCACATGGCAATTGCAAAGGACATTTTTCGATCCACGAAGTAACTATGAGAGTTTGCAAATTTTTAAGCTTGAAAAATTGAAGCTTGTCAAGAGAACCAATGGTACTTAAAGTCAACTATCTCAAATCAATTAAGTCTGTTATTTCACGAGGTATGCCTTGTGAGCATTTAAATAATGATAAATCCAATACTCTTAGCAATTTCAAACATGGGTATACCAACCTGCATTTTGAGTGGTAGACATCTTTACCAAAGCAGAGAACAGAATGGATTTCACCAGGACCGCAATTGTCATAACTCGCTCTAGTGATTGGCCAATGAGTTGTTTGACAGCTTAACCAACGGCGAGTTTTTGGAGCATGATTGTCATTGATAATGCACAAATCATTCCCCTTTATTGCTTCTCGCACACAAACCTCATGCACTCGATCATGAACCTGACATGATTTAACTTTGTCGTCAATACTCAACTCATTAATTTGAACTAGATTTCTGTTAATGAGATCATCCAAGTAACTCTCTGCCACTTCTTCCAAACTCATATTTTGATGTGGCATTACAAATCCCTCCGCAACCCATAAGTTAATTAGTCTCTTAACAGGAATGATGTTGTCTTCAGGAAACACACCAAAATAATGAAAGCAAGGTTTCAAGTGACTAGGTAAGTAGTTGTAGCTCAATGAAAGTATTTTTGAAATTCTGTTGTTATAATTATATGTATCAACTCCATCCAAAGTTTCTGCAACATATTTCCATATTTCTAGAGACTCTTTTGCTGTTGCCAAAAGTCCAGCAATCACAACAACTGCTAGTGGTAATCCACTGCAACCAAGAACGATGCGTTTACCAATTAACTCATATTCCCTGGGAACGCATTGGCTTTGCCCAAACACTTTCCTCGAAACTAATTCCCAACGATCCTTTAAAGTTTGATAGGCCACATGGTAGGGATTTGTGCTTAAGTATTCAGCCACCTTTATGAACCTAGTAGTTACTAAGATACGGCTTCCGTTAAAGTTCTCTGGAAAACATCTTTGGATAGCATGCCATGCAGCAGTGGTCCATATGTCATCCAAATAAATTAAATACTTCTAGCCCATCAAAATTCTGCATAATTGCTCAGCTATTTGAGCATCGTCTAGGTCGTATATTTCACTTGTTATTGGTGAAATACAACGTAATACACCAATGAGCATATCTTTGAGGTTATGAACCTGAGACACAACTACCCATGCTCGAATTTGAAAACAAGCAATAGTAATTGGATTTCCATAAACTCTTTTGGCCAATGTAGTTTTTCCTATGCCTCCTTCCCCGACGAGTGGGATAACTTGTAATTTCTGCTCTGGATTGTGACAATATCCCCAACGAGTGGGATAATTTTCTTCATATTTCCGAAACTGTTCAATGTTACTATTCCTAAAAATGGTGAAAACTGATCTCATCAAGTGTGAATAACAGAGCCGTTTAATTATTGTCTCTATATCACTGTGGAATCCTATAATCACTTCATTCTGAGGCTCTAAAGCATTTTGGTATGTATCCCAAATCGTGACCCCCGTGATGTTCTGTTCCCCCAGCTCTAAAGCAGTTCTTTGTTTTCCCTCCAGGATCCATTTTGCAACTTCCTCAAAATCTGCTACCATATGATCCAAGATTCTATGGAGACGTTGACAACGCTCATTGTTAGAAAAAAATTAATTGTGTGGCTCAAATTTAAGCATGAAGACCACTTACATGCATGTTTTCTTCCATCATTCACGTATTGTACTATTGCCGTTTTATCTCCACACGTAGCCTGTGCTCTTGGCGCAAATATCTCTTTTTGTAGTGTATAAATAGTGTAGGATATTTGCTTTGTAAAAATCATCAATCAACATCAATTTTGAATTCATTCTTCTCCTTCCTTTCTTTCACGTACGTAGCATATATATATATATATATATATATATATATATATATATATATATATATATATATATTTCTTTGTTTTCTCTTTCAAGAGATTAATATATATATATATATATTCTATATTTTCCCTTTGCCATTTATTTATTTGTCATTTATATATTTTTCCCTATTTATATTATTTAACTTCTATAATTCTCAATTTTCGATTCTTCGCTTTCGCAATATTCCGCTATATTCCTAACAAGTGGTATCAGAGCCAAGTTTAATTGAGAATTATTTTCAAAGATGTCGACGGTTACTAAGTTCGATATCGAGAAGTTCGACGGGAAAATTAGCTTTTCTATCTGGAAGGTTCAGATGGAAGCCGTTCTAACCCAGAACGGTTTGAAGAAAGCGCTAGCTGGGAAGAAGAAGAAACCGGCTACAATGACAAATGAAGATTGGGAAGATCTGGATGACAAGGCACGTTCAACCATTCTTTTGTGCCTGTCTAAAGAGGTTCTACATGAGGTGTTAAGTGAGACGACTGCGTCAGATTTATGGTCCAAGTTGGATACGCTTTACATGGCCAAAACTCTGGCGAACACGCTACGCCTGAAGGAGCGTCTGTACACAATCCGTATGACGGAAGGTACTTCTATTAAATCTCACTTGGATGAATTCAATTCAATTTTATTGGACTTGGAAAATATTGATGTTATAATTGAAGATGAGGATCGCGCTGTTTTATTGCTTGTCTCTCTCCCTAGATCATACACGCATTTCAAAGAAATTATGTTGTATGGTAATAGTAGTGATACCCTTACTTTCGACAGTGTTAAGTCAAACCTATTGTCCAAAGAAAAGTTTGACTTTGAAATTAAGTCTGAGGACAAAGGTGAAGGCTTGACTGTAAGGGGTCGTTCACTTGAATCAGGGAGTAGCAATAAAAATTCCAGATCCAAGTCCAAAGGACATAAGTCCAACAAATCCTGTAAGTACTGCAAGAAGCATGGTCATGATGTGACTGAATGCTTCAAGTTGAAAAACAAGCAAGAGAGAGAAAAGAAGTCCGCTGAAGCTAGTGTTGTTGAAAGTGATTCAGATGGTGATGTGTTGTTATCTGTTAGCTCCGGTGAGAAACGGAGTGAAACCGAGTGGATTTTGGACTCTGGTTGTACATTCCACATGTGTCCCCACAAAGATTGGTTCATCTCTCTGGAACCGGTTGATGGTGGAGTTGTCTTGCTGGGTAATGATACCCAATGCAAGGTTAGTGGAATTGGAAGTGTTCAGATTAAAACTCATGATAACGTTGTCAGGACTCTTACCAATGTTCGGTATATTCCTGATTTGAAACGCAATCTGATATCATTGGGCACCTTGGAATCTTTGGGGTGCAAGTACACAGCTGAAGGTGGAGTTTTGAAGGTCATAAAAGGCTCTCTTATTCGTATGAAAGCTTCTCGTTCTGGAAGCTTGTATGTCTTGCATGGCAGTACTGTGACGGGTTCAGTAGCGGTATCCTCATCGATGTCTGATGCGGATCTCACTCAATTATGGCATATGTGTCTGGGGCATATGAGTGAGAAAGGCATGCATCTCCTGAGCAAGAAAGGTCTCCTTGGTGATTCAGGTACGGGTAAATTACAATTTTGTGAGCATTGTATTTTTGGGAAACAAAAGAGGGTTAGTTTCTCTACTGCTACACACCGTACCAAAGATGTATTGGAATATATACATTCCGATTTATGGGGACCGACTAAATTCCAGTCTATGGGAGGCTGTAGATATTTCATGTCTATTATTGATGACTTTTCCCGTAAGGTTTGGGTCTATTTCTTGAAACACAAAAATCAGGCTTTTCCTATTTTCAAAAAATGGAAAATACTTGTTGAGACTCAGACAGGGAAAAAGGTCAAGAAGCTCAGGACAGACAATGGCTTGGAGTTCTGTGAGTCAGATTTCAATGACTTCTGTGCGGCAAATGGAATCGCCAGGCACAAGACCTTGCCTGGTAAACCCCAGCAAAATGGTGTTGTCGAACGTTTGAACAGGACTCTATTGGAAAGAGCTCGTTGTATGCTCTCTAATGCTGGGTTATGGAAACGGCGTGATTTTTGGGCCGAGGCCGTTTTTATTGCTTGCTATTTGGTAAATAGATCTCCACATTCATCCCTTGATTTCAAAATTCCAGAGGAAGTTTGGTCAGGTAATCCTGTTGATTACTCTATCTTAAGAGTTTTTGGATGTCCTGCTTATGCTCATTCCAGTACGGGTAAAT